CCCCAAAACCCCAAAACCCCAAAACCCCAAAATGCAAGAATAAAGGTAATTTAGAGTTAATTGCATTATAAAGTTACAAATGCAAAACTATAAATTAGAATTTATAAATTTTAAATGGAAGAAATTAATGCTGTTGTAGAACAAGAATATCAGGAGATGTGGAATAATTGGATCATCTTCTAGAAATTTGACACAACCAATGACATTCTCCAGATTAAAAAATAAATTGGACTAGTTGATGATAAAGTAGACTTCTCTGTCAGATAGTCAATCATGCAACCTCCTAATCTGTAAGAAATCTATGAAGGAATCATAAATGGGATCATAAAGAGAAGGGAACTTGGATTGTATTAAAATGCATTTACTTATTACTGTGAGTTGCAAACAGCCTTAAATGAATTCCTTAAGATGTATGGCACTTCTCTAAAGAAGGAGGTGATTCTCGATTTATTTCAGAATCTAACTGGATTAAGTTTAACCAAGGAAAATGTTCCCAAGATTGTAGTCAGATGCAATAATTGCAATTCTTACGTTTACTATACAAACAACTGCAACAAGTGCAGAAATGCTTTCTATTGTGATTAATCTTGTGTTAAGGCAGACCTCACAATTCATTGCAAGAAGTGCATCCATGATTTACCAATGACTCCACAGTTATTCTCCCCATTAATTGTAGAATTACACTCAGGTACAGATATGAAGCACAATATTACTTTATATTATGAGCATGAAATGAAATTTTCTTAAAAAATCAGAGGAATGTAGCTTTTCATGCATCTATCCAAATTCTTTTTGAAGCATAGATGGCTGAAAGGAAATAAATATTCAGTAGAGGAAAGTGAATAGAGCGTCATCAGATTCATCTATCATGCAGACAACTTAAACAACAGTGGTGGGGCAATCGATGAGGAAGAGGAATATAAAGTGCAATAAACTCCTCATAATCCTACTAAGTACCAGCCAGTGCCTTAGCCATTTCACACAAGCAGTAGACATTCAAAATAAGACTCAATAAACTAATCCTAACTGTCTCAGAATGATGTGTCCATGAGATCTAAAACTGATGATAATAATGATGAAAGCAGTGAAGATCAAGAGAGTGATGATGCTATGAGAGAATTTTACAAACAATAAAGAAGTGAGAAAACTCAGTAAGAAAAGGAGATAAAAGATGAATTCTATGCTAAACTGCCAATTATTTAAGAAATAAAAGTTGTGTTTTTGAATTTTGGAGCATTAATTACGGATATTCTCTAGGAATAGCATACATCATACAAACGCTACATTCATATATTCAGATTTCCTTACTGAAGAGCATCTTATTGAAATCCTATACTTATATTTTAATTTGTTAATCTTGATTTCATAATTATTATGCACTTAGGGGTTTTGGGGTTTTGGGGTTTTGGGG